CATTTAATTCATCCAACAGTCAAAACCATAGACTGTATATACTATGGACAACTTGGTTCCGCCTTCCACCAGTGTACGGATTTAAAGCCGAAAAGCTCTCTGTATTTCCGGGATTTTTCCTGATTTCTGGAAACCAGCGCTGTGCAGTAGCAATGCGCGCATTCGGGCGTGCAGTCGCCGAGAATTGCTGTGGTGACACTCGGCTCAACTTGGTAATTTGGTTGTTTTAAGGCTGTTCAATGTTAGGTGCTTGAGTTTGGTGTTGAAAATCACCCAGGGGAGAAGGGCACCTCATGAGATATAGCAGTAACTAATCCTGAGTCATCATTTAACACTTAATTCAAAGCCATGAGCAGTAAAGGCATCTCAGCTTGTGTTAATGGTTGGACGTGAAGCAAAGCATTTTAAAACCAACTATTCATGAATTAATTTCATAATTTTCAAATGGCTGAAATGTCTCTGTTTTTAGGGCTGCAGTACACTGTCACATGGACTGTTGCAGTGTGCAGAACAGACCCAAGAAGATGCCAACCAATGTGACCTACACCCACTAAGTGTTAATCGATGGCAAAACTGCAAAATGTGTTTCTATTAAAACTGGGTTTTTATTCTGATCATTATGATTTTTTATCTTTTCATAAATTTAGAAGATGCTTATTGAGACTACCAGCTTTCAATTGAAAGAGGTATTACCCTTTTTTGAGTCACGTTTGCAGAAGTTTTAGTTTTACTGCTAACTTTCAGAACCATACTTAGCCTACAGCACTGTTGGCCTATAACTCAGTGTTACTGCTCCAAGAATCAGCCTTATCCTGTCTTAATGTTGGGTCTTGGTAAATATGATGAAGAGTATAGACCAAACCAGCTCTTTTTGTAAAGTGTCTTGAGATATAAATACAGATTGATTGATTGTAGAGGTTGCGGTCTGTCATACTGAATGTTGGAGGTAGAGGCAGATTCGCTCTGGCAGAGACTGCAGGTGGAGTCAGCTGCTCAGTTTGCAGTTAAATGCCGTAGTTTGAGGTGGTGCCCACAGGTGTCTGACATAAATCTGAGTTAAAGGCATAAATTGCACAGTCAGCCACACACTGGAGATGGACAATTTCAGGTTGCTGGAGGAAGATTCAGTTGATGGAAGAGACTGATTGTGTCTCCTTTCTAAACTCCACCAGATCTAAGTATGATCCATCTCTGCTCTGCCACAGCAACAAAGCTGGTAGGTTTTCACTCTAGTCAGTGTGTCTGCTTCCACAGGCGCTTCATCCCAGAAATGCAAATCCAGAGACCTTCAGCAGATATGTACGACTTCTATTTTTGCTGGACACCAGAGCATGACACATCAGTCAGCACAGAGCAGATCGAGGGAGGCAGATGTCAGGCACCAACTCAATGTGAAAACATCCAGCTAATTTTCAAAATAAAACGTCCCCTGTTCATGCCAAATCATATTTCACTCAACTAAATCAACAAACCGCCACAACGAGCACCCCTGACCTGAAGTCGACAGGTCAGAAGTTTTCAGACCTCAACATGGAGGTGATAAAAAAATAAACTCAGATTCTGTATTCAACTTGGGAATTCCTTGGTCCCATGACTCAAGCTGTCCAGGAGGGCTGCTATTTCTGAAAAAGCAGCCAGCGGGTATAGACAGAAGGGGCTTGTGATGCTTGAACCAGGGCAGATCTGGTGGAATTCTGGCATAACCAAGACTCCAGGTTTGTGGGCACATACAGAAGATTAGCAGATGAAAAGGCCACAGATAGGTTTTGGATGTGGCTAAGGCTCTGTGTTGTTCATGGTCATACTTTCGACTATATAAAAAAACAACATAACTTAAATCTATTATTGAAATAGTATTGATTAAAGGGATATTCCGGCATAAAATGAATTTGCGGTCAAAAACACTGTAACACCCATTTAAACACCCCCTCGAGAGATGAATGTTGCAGACCGCTTTCTTCTCTAGTTGAAACAACTTTAGTAACGACCGCACGATAGCAATACCAACAAACAATGCTCAGAACAGCACCTAACTTCATCAACAGTACATATAGGGTCCCAGCCATAGGACTAGCCACCAAACATCTTTTTAACTTTGCCTAATTCGTTTAGCAAAGAGACTAAACACAACTCATCTACTCTCTTCCAGCAGCCGCTTGTTTGTAGCGAGACCTCGGGCCAATCCATCACAGACTGCTGCAGGGTGACACAGCTCAAGGAAGAACATTTATGATCATTACTTTATCATTTCCTTTAAGTAATAATCATCATATTAATCATTTTGCACTGCAGACACGTTGGTCCTTCTTTAGCATCTCAATCTGATTGTATTACCATGAAGAAATAATCATAAATGTTCTTCCTTGAGCTGCATCCCCCCCGCAGCAGTCCATAATGGACTAGCCTGAGGTCTTGCTACACAGATCGAAAAAAGTTTATCATTCCTCTGTTTTCCAGCTGCAGTTGATTTGGAGCAACAGTGGGTCATGGTTTTGGTGAGCCATGGTGGAGTTATGCTGAAGGGGTAATTTCCCCCCAGGACCACTTTGGTGCTTAGCGAATTAGCATCATCTGGCACCTTGAGCCATGCCCTGTCTTTCTGCACTAAGCTGATGGCACTCCAGGCAGCACACATCAACTGAACTCAAGCTCCATAGATCGACCTTGAATCTAGATGGTGGATGACCAGCTATCTTCATAAGTTCATATGACCTCAGTTTTCCTGTGTAGCGTCAGAAAGATCAGACCTGAAAAAAGCATGCCATGTAGCGCCTGGTACCTCCTATAATGCAACCAGGCACGTGTTGTTAAACCAACCAAAAACAGCATGTCCCTCTGCTGTTCATTTCCACCGGCTTACAGATCCTGATCATGTCACCTACAAAACCTTACTTCCCTCTGACAAAACAGTAACAAAATCTGGCTCCTGCCTACCTGGAATCCCTCATCCAGACCAACACTCCCTGTCACCTACCAAGAAAAGATGACTGGTAGTCCTGTCACTGCAAAATTCTGCTGGGTGACACAATCTACCACTCTGTGGGCTGCATGCATGCAGTCTTTTCATCAGAACTGAAGTGTTGACAACTATGTCACATGTTTTAAAGCGGGAAAATAATCACTATCCATTTAAAGCAGTTGTAACACGTTATAAACTTCTCATTCTAGATTCAAATCATGGAACTAATTCAAAGCTCTTTACAAACATCCAGAGTGCAAACCTGGTTGGGAATAGAATGAAGCAAACTGTGAAATTTTAAGTCAGTACTTCAGGGAAAGCTTTTCTTCTTCATCTGTATGTGGCAAGAAAAAGCAAGTTGACTAAATTTAGTTAGACGTACTAGCTGAATGCCAGACTCACTTTAGCTGGGAGTCAATCCAGTCATCCCTCTGAAAGGAAACCTGCCAGTGGACTCAACATGGACAGCAGAGCCGTTATCATCCAACAAGTTACACAATACTCCCACCTTGTGGTTCAATACATAACATCAGAGTTTTATATTTTTCAGCACGAAACGAGGATATCCAAGGAGGGACAAAGGCTGGGCATAAAAGTGATACAGAAACTGTGGGATGGTGTTGGGTTTAGAATAATCATTAAAAACAAATCTCTTCCATTATCATCGCAGATATTGGATACTGTGGATCAGTGACACTCAAAACCGGTAAAAAGAAGGAAACACTCTGCTGCTTTCTGTTCATTTCAATGTATTATTATATCCACTTTGTGTGATCTGTATCTACACCGTTTCCTCATGACTCTCCTTGAGAGCTTTTCTCGGATTCCCAGTCATTCTGCTGCTGCTGTTTGATCCCATAATGAGATGATGAGTGCGCTCCCTCTTCTTTTTCATCACAAAGATACGCAGCAACAGCACAGAGACAGAAAGCAGCAGCCGAGTCTGCACAAACTAAAGATATCCTTATTAATGTACAACTAATGATTTTTAGACTATAAGGCCTCATAGCAAGACCTCATAGAAAGGCACTGATTGGCACTGACACGTTACCCACAGCAAATATCGTTTTCATTAAAAAAAAAAAATAATTGACTTACAGAAAAGAAGTTACTTCATTTCAAATACACTGAAGTCTCAAAAATAGCTATGGGAAGAAATGCAGCCAGTAAAGTTACTGGAAGTTAAATTGAATAGACAGATGATGAATCATAATTTGCTCCAAACATACATCTTAAACTCAGAAATTTGCATGAGATGAAAAAATATTTTTACTTTAACAGAATAATTGTGCTGCGAGGCTTCCCTAACATTTCTGGTTAGCAGTGTTGATGAAACAGATGAGCAGCAGCTGAACTCTTTATAAAGAAGTAATTACGAACAACAGATGATCTTTATAATGAGTTAGAATTAACCATCCATATGACAGTTTTTAAAAAAGTTCATCTCATGAAGTAGATACAAAAAAAATAACTATTGAGGAGCACAAGAATGTTCAAGTTTTGCACACATTAGCAAGACTACCTTACAACAGAAATATCAGAAGCAGCAAGGCCCAACCCAACAGTTTAGAAATTAATTACAAGATTATTTTTTATTCTCATTTGGCAGTTTTTGAATTCCCCCAGACTAAAAAATTGAAACTCCTTTTAGTATAAGAACGATTGACAAGTAAAGTGCTCTTAGGTCAAGACATTCATACACATTACAGTAACCTGTAACCAAAGCTTGGATTTGTGTCTATATCAGAGGTATAACTGAACACAGGAAAATCATTGCACAAATAGAAGCAGCTCAGTAAGGACTGTGACAACTTTGAAAGGCCTTTGGAACAAAGGAGAAAAATAAGGATTGAGTCAATACTAAAATAAAACAGGAAAAAATGAATTAAAGCAAAGATGATGGGCATACTCTCCAGTTGGCTTCATTTTCATGTTCGTTTAAACCCCAAATTTGAACTTTTTAATCAGTTGGATAAAAGGTTGATACGGCAAAAACCTTATTCCTAAAAAGTCACTGACATCTAGTTTTATTGTCTTATTCTCATTGGTAACCCAGTCCACGTCTCTTGAAGTGGCAAAAGAGAGGGATGGTGATACTCAGACAAATAACCTGTGAAGAGAGAGCACATATAATGTGAATATATGTTGGCTTACGGTATTTTTGAGCTTTTGAGCCTGGGCTGTAAACTGGGTTTACTCTACCTGTATGATAAACATTGTGACAACACCGGCGCCTGTACTGAGATAGTTTCCTGCAAACCAGTTCTTCAGTTTGTCTACACATCCCTAAAAGACAAGAAAGATTACATTTAATACCAGAATAACCATTTTAAGAGGACAAGATCTCAGAATCTTTCTTGGGTCACTGTTGGGGGCATGAAGTAGGAATTGATTGGTTTGATTCAACACCACAGGGACTATAGGATTAAAAGGACACTTAGGTTGGTAGGTCAGGTTTTGCCATTTCTTATAACAAAAAAAAAAAAAAAATGGTGGAGATCATAAACAAAATTCATCGATATCTAATGTGTAAACGAAAAAAAAAACATATTCCAACTTGGTCTGCTGCTGTGAAGAATAAAATTAGTAAATTTACGAACTTTGTTTTTAGATCCTTTGACTTGTTTTGTCTCAGCTCTGAGTTGCTTCAAATGCCACTACAGATGGTCGTGTGTATGTGTGTGTTTATGTGGAGACCTCTCAGTATATCAGGTTTGTTTACAGTCAAGTGGTTGCAGATAATTAATAACCTCTTGCCAGTTGGTGTGAAAAGGGGTGTTACATGGATCCTTGGCACAACAAGAGACAGGAATCTTGCCCTTCCAATCTGTCACACCGTGAACTCCACAACACCTAAACTGTACAAAAAAAAACAACATTTTAATAAAATGATCAATTATTGAAGATGAGGGCGATATATATTTAAAATGTGAGTGAATATTGTTTTTGTAGACAGGGAAACAGAGTGGTGGATCACTCACCAGGTGCTGGACGGCATCAAAGTCAGCTTTAATGGTCCTGTTTCCTTCTGGACTGGATTGTCTATAGATCTCCAGGCTTCTCTTCAAATCTTTCTCAAAGTATGTGTCAATCTGCACCACAAACACAAACCAGCATCAGTATTTGCATATTCATCCTAGTAAACAACTTAACCAACATGTTAGATCTGAACTCTCCTACCTCTCTGCTGTAGATCAGGAACACAAGGGCCATGGCCAGCTCTACCATCATTAGGATGACCATCAAGATGAAGAACTGGATCAGATTCAAACACAGGAGAGTTTTCTGTCACGTGTATTTTGGATCGCCCCATGCACTTCTTGTTTTTAAGATCTATTAATTTTATCCCTGCCTAGATCACGACTCGGCACTGCACACAAACTACCTTATCACCACCATAAATGTGAGTCCATGAATAAAATCCATTTAACACCTTGATCAACAATCATGGAAAACAGACGTGCAGACAGATTGAACCGCTGAGACTGGCAGGTCCATTTCATCTGCAGCGTGAGAGAAAAGGACAGCACCTAAACTTGGAGATTAACCGCTCTGGGAAGCAGTCGTTAATAACATAATTTCTAATTTACAGAGGGACTGAGTTCACACTCTACTAATGCTTTAGGGGTCCCACCATCTGATGCAGTTGCAACGTTAGCATTAGTTACATTTTAAATCTTACATCTTGCCCTGAGTAGAGGTAAAGTCCCCTCTAAAGTATTGGTTGTTATTATGGTGTTACATTTTGAAAGATGGGATAATTTGCAGGAGGAGAAGCAGAGTGTTTACCAGCTGTTTCATGTCAGCTCTATGTCACCCCTGAGAGTTAAATTAAAAATATGTGATGACTTTATTCTGCTCTACCACTTTTATTTTCCCTGAGTGGAGATAATTACATCTGAACTGTAATAGAGCATCATTATACGCGCTGAAGTTGACAGTTTCACTATGAATGTAATTTGACACAATGGACTAATCATCTTATCATAATACTTTGTCATATTTTGGGAGAGTTAGGACTTAGGTCAGATTAAAATATCATAGAGACTTTATACTGCCAAGTGTTAACAAGGCACAGGCGTAATGTTAACATTATGAAGCATAGAGAGCAAAATTTGAATGCAGTACTTTAAACTATACAACCTTTTCCGCATGCTGTTTAACTCAGTAGATCACAGTTAATACCATATTTCATACTCACAGTGATGAGCATGCAGCGGTTCTCCCTCATGCCACCCAACACTCCCAGATAACACACACAGGTAACAATGGTACCAGTGACCACCAGAGTGTTCGCCGGGTAGATGGGCCAGAAGGTCGGGATGAGGGAGGCAAACCTAGAGTGGATCATCTGGAACTCCCCAAAAGCCACCACAAATGCACCGCACAGCTCCAGCACATAAGAGAGAGACGAGAGCTCTTAATTCTCTGTGGACATCATTTAGTGTCTGAACGGCATTAATTGCACTTTTTGATTTTCTGTTTAGAGACCAGAACGACAAACCATATCAATACAATGAATCTCACATTAGAAAACCCAAAGAGAACTCACATAAATAAATAAAGTTATGCAATGAAATTCATTTAAATAAAACAGTAATCAACAGTACAAATTGGTATAGTTCACTGAATGGTGGACAGCAAATAATTAACATGTGATTAATTTCTAAGATCAATGCCTTGTTTTATTTTTTTAATTACATGCAGCTTTGTCCCTTCAGCCTTCGCCACAGTGTTGTTTGCTTCCTGCCGCTGCCCTGATAAAAAATAATGAACCTTTGTATCTCAAATGCTGGCAGGGCCCAATTATAAAGGTTTTCACTGATGCAGGAAACTGAGAATGCAACCAAACCAAGTAGTGCAAATGCTGACACTTGCTCGCGGCATCAGTCGTCTTCATGGATGGGAAGAGTAACTGGTCCATAGAGACACACAGATATGTGTGGTAACAAAACAAGCGCATTGGTAATATTGGAAGGTCTTGTGTATGGATGTAATGTTGGATGGAAAGATCCATTAGTCATCAGATGTCTGCAACAGTGAAGTCTGGTTAATTCAAGATGGGAAGTTGTGTGCATTTTATGAGAAATACGGTTATTTCATATTATTTGTTTCTTTTTATCCTGTTCCTCTTAAGTCAGACCCATGTTATGTCTTAAGCTGAGTGAAATAAAAACATGGTGGAAGCTACATGAGTATATCCACCACCTCTAAACTCCAAATCCAAATTTTGAGAACACTTCAGGTTTGACAGGAGAGACAAACAACATGACAAGTCAAGTGCAAAATGTGCCAAGCTGTCAGAAAGTAAACGTGCAGCCTTGTAGCTCACCTGAAGCTGTGACATAGTGTTTTATCATGAATATCATATTGCACATTGTACTTGCTAATCTGTGCAGTCTGTTTTCTTGTCTAATGAAAACCACCTATCTTCTAATTTAGGGCAGTAAATGTGTTTAAATATCAAAGGGAGAAAATGCAATAATTTCATTACTTAAATTAAAATGTTAAATCCTTTTTTAACCCACTGGTGAAGTAATTGCCTTCTTTTTAACAGCGATCAATTGACATATTGAGGGATGGTACTGTTCTAGGTTTACGTCTTGTCTGTTGTTTTGGTTATAAGTGTGGTGGCTGCAGCGTGTCAGTGGTTTTTATACTTACCCAGCACAGACAATTGAGATGGACCACCATCTTTTTACAAAGCTTTACACAAGAGCGATTCATCCTTCCTGACAATCTTCCCCTCTGTATAATCTGAAATGATAGACAAGCTGTTGTCGTTTACATGTTAGATAAAGAACTACAGATCTCAAAATGCATCACAGAGCTCTCTCAGTGTATTGTTAGTGATAACAAGTGAGCACTGGAGTGTTTACAGGACACCACTGTTTGATGTGACAACAGGGAGCTGTGAGGTACAGAGGAAACCCATGACCCATTCAGGCTTAAACATCAAGATTCACCATTTGTTACAAGTTTGTACCAGGAGATTTGAGATTATTAGGATTAGCCAGAGCAGTGTCTCCTCTTTTACTGTGACATGTTTCTGCTAGTCATGTCAAGGTACAAAGAAAACACAATGGTCTGGGTACAAGAAATGTTGGATTATAATATACAGTCAGACCAAATTGTGCTTAAAAACAAACAACAAAAAACACATTTCTTGGTCTTTGCTTGCCATAGTTCTACAGTGGCATACATTTGGTATATTGAGTACTATTAAATGAATACTGATCTGTATTACTGTGATTATCTTGATCAGTCAGTCTCCTTTGAAGTTGATTTCTTTAAATTAAGCTGTCAATTTATATTTCTTCTGAGACTATTATTTTTTGGTTGAATCATTGACAATAATGAGTTCAAAATATCTTACCTTAAAAACACTGTATTCAGGAATATTCCAGTGACAGATCCAGTGAGCAGTGTTTTGGTGTTGCTCCTAACATTCCTAGTGTTAACTGACGAACACAGTGAGGAGGAAGAGAAATAAGATGATGGTAAGGGAAGCGCGGCCTCTGTCTGCCAACCAGTCTGAAGGTATTTACCTGAATGGGAGGGGTATCCACACTCCAGCTTTTACAGTAAAGAGCCAAGGACATAGGCAGCATTACATTTGGGTGTTTCCCTTAACAAACAGCACTGGAATTAATCACAGATTTATCGATCTAGTTTACTTCCTGTCACTTGCTGTTACTCAATAACCGTGGTCAATGGAACACCTAGAGACTAGAATAACTGGAAACAGAGGACTGGTGATTTAGGGAAGCAGGAGGAGGAGGACCACCTCACTTGTTTTCAGAATCTGTGATCTTATAAAGATGCACATGTATATGTTCAGGTTTTGGATCAACTTCTGCTGCCATCAAGACCATTTTTCCCAGGGTCGACATTGCATGTTTCAGTAAGAACATTTAAATAACAGGTTTTCCACTCATTACAGCAGCATGGCTTCACAGTTTAAGAGTCAGGGTGCTAAACTGGCCTTTCTTCAGTCCCCACTTGTCACAAAAACTACATGACAAAGGAGACCCCGAAGTGCTCAACAGCTGAAATCCCATTTAAGGCAAGAGTGGGAAAACATTAATTGCTAAGTTGAACAGATGACACAACCCAATGGTAAACATGTCCCTGCTAATTATTTTAGAGATGTACTTCTAGTATCAGAATTAAAAGAAGCATTTGTTTTTAATTCAAATTTTGCAGTGTCCAATGTCCCAACTACTTTGAAAATGGAGTTCTGATCTTTTGCACAAAGGTGCATGCATGTAAGTTGGTCTAAATACTTTAAAACAGCTGTACTTGAGATAAGCAGTGCCTTTTTTTAATTCCATACTTAAGTAGATGAATCAGCCTTTCAAAGACAGAACAAAAGAACAAAGGTGTTGCAAAATGAAAATGTCAGAAGAAAACTTGAGCCAGAAAAAAAGGTGTTATATTTGTAGTAGAATTGTCTGATCAGTTTCATTAATGACCTACAGAAGTTTCTATCTTAATCATAGCTTGTTTAATTTAACAAAAAGAACCAAGAGCTCATACAGTCAAAACAAAGAAAAGAAAATCAACTACAAAGACAAATAAAGCTTAAGAGAAACAATAATACATATTCTGGAATAAAACTAAATTGTTTTCATAAAGTTAAAACACTGAGCATGACAAGAGTCTTTAATTCTAGTAAAGTACTGACTGATGTGGTTTTAAACCATTGAGAGAAACTAAATTAATAAAAACTGTAAAATTTTAAATGTTGTCTACATATAATTCCCTATGACAAAACTGTGACGGCATGCTTCAGATGAAGTTTTTATTGGTTTTATTTTCTTCATATTAATTTCTATTTTTACTCTTAGGTTTTGCTTCAAGATTCCCCTGGAAAATACTAAACCCTTAAACAGCACAGTTAAAAAAACACAATGAGAGAGAAGTGTTAGTGTATTTTTAGGCATTAAACATTCTCCTCAGATTTTAGAGATTTTGAATTTGGGTTTAGTAAAACTACGACTGTATCTGTAAAAATGTTGTATTAGCCTTTAGGGACTGCAGGGGGCGCTGTCACTTGAGTCTGTAATTGCTCTTGTGCTTTGTAGGATGAGCGCTGCCAGTCTGGCTCAAGGTTCTCCAGCACCAAAGGTTATTGAATGTTTGTCCAAACCCTCTCCCAAAGCTATGACACTTTTATTTGTGCTGATCTCATCCTTTTTATATCACATTTCTAACCTCCTGAAGAAAAGAAAATAACTAAAGAATAACATGTACTGGATCAAGACCAGATGAATCGATCGTTTTTTGTTTTTTTGTATCCAGACTTTACTCCTCTCTGGTTTGTGTTGTTCATTACGGCCATTTGATCTACAAAATTAAGACTATCTTGGACCCAGCAGAGGACTGGATTCAGGCCTGATTACCTAAAGATGATATCATATATCTTAAGTATTCCACACAAAGCATTGTTACAATGGTGTTGATACTTGAGATATACATTTATATCATTTCCAAAAGCAGGGCAGAGGTGAGATGGATTATAGGAGTCGTTTCTGTCCAGATCAAAAGTTTAAAACACACTCAGCCTTACCTTCATTATACATCAATAAGTAAAACATACTTTTAACTCCTGACTGAACTGATGAAAGAGAAGTTGTACACAGATTTCAACAGGAGTCCTTTTCCTATGTTTAAATGTGTTCATATCTTCCTCAGCTCTAAATACTGGATTTCACTGAATTCAATTGCATCATCTCATTGCTTCAAAATAATTACAAAATTAAACACAAAACTCAAAAGATCACAAGCAGACTGATCAGAAAAGAAACAAAAAAACCTCAAGCAGCCACACCAAAGCTCAGACTGGTTTGAACAAAGGGCTTGGACATCAGGTCATACAACAGCAGAAGTCCTATGAGTGGATATAAAAAAGAAATAAACAAAAAAATCAAACAAAGAAATAAAAAGTATAGTCAAATAGTTTTAGCCTAACTCAAACACACTTCTCAAAACATGATTCTGCACAGGGCTACCACAGTCATTTCACAAGAGCAGAACTCCAACACAACACGATCATGAAAAACTACATCTGAAAATATATCAACAAACCAGACAGACAAACCACATCAGTGTGAGATATTAAGAGAGAGAAAAAAAGAGCCTTTTTGTTGGTCCTAGCTAGGCACTCACTGCCCTGTTAACTTAAACCCTGCTATCTTTTCACGAAGACCCATTTTTACAAAAGGAGCTAAAAACAATGAGAACAAGTGCTGTAAGTGGACAATCTTTGATCGTGTTTATTTCCCTGAAAGACAATGCTGCATCGATGACATACCGTCTCCACTGACTGCGATTTGAAGCAATTAGAAAATGTTTTTTACCAGTCATTATGACCCTAAAATATGACAAAACAGGGCCAAGAATTACTTAGATTTCTCATGAGATGTAAAACACATCGACACTTAGCATCAGTAATACATTTAGAAACAGGAAACAGTTCTGTTGAAGCCGATTTAAGTGCTTTGTCTGACTTACAAGGTGCTCTCATGATACTTGAACTTTTCAGTGCATTAAGAAGAAAGATACACAGGTTGATTGGTCTTCACAGCATCTACGAAGCAGGTTTAAGCAGCCCGTTGGCGGCACCAAGTGGCAGTAAGAGGTATGCACGTGTCAGTAAAGGTCAAAAGTGACAAAACGTCAGCAGACCATATACAGCATCTGTGATTGGTATTGAAGTTTTTTTTGTCTCTCTCATTTTGGACATCAAAAACCCGCACAGTGAAACAAATTCAAACTTCAGTGTCTCAGCTAGTGCAGATGTTACAGACCCACTGTGCTTTGAGTTGAGATGAGCTTCTTTTTTAGTACTAGAAAAATATTTTAGAGCAAAAAAGAGAAAAATATTTCACAGCTGTCGCTCCCTGTTCGGGGTTTATAATCTGTCCATCCGTTCATCTTGGCGGTCTTTGTTTTTGTGGCTCTGGGCTTTAGAAACACAGTGATCTTCATTGATCATCAATCGCTCGGTTCTGTAAAGCTATGGCAGTCCTTGAATTGTTGTGTCCTGTGCTGATTTAGAAAACACACATACTGGGGTTGGTAAAACTGTTCTCTGATCAGTAGAATCGCTTGCGTCTATTTTCCTTCCAGCGCCCGTAAACCACCAGCCCTACCACTGCCAGCACACCCAAGCCCATGATGGAGAAAAGGATGGTGAAGAACAACTGGACTCCGCTCATCCCCTCTTCCTGGATATCAACTACAAAGTAAGAAGATGTGAGATTTATGGTTATGATTACAGGACAGAGAGCGTTTTAGTGGTGGTTTTGGTTCATAAATAACCTAACCATAATGATTCAAAAAACAATCCAACCTTACTAACTAGCTACTTCCAGGATTTAAAAATGTGTCTCAAAGCGGACTGGTTAATGCTATAAATACCTTGAAACTGCTTCATGTTGTCAACGCTGGGGATAGTGACCTCCTCTTCTTCCTCCTCCCCCGGGGTCTGCTCTACTGTCAGCTGGTACAGCTTCATGGAAATGATGTCATGGTTATCTGCAGTCAAGTCAAGTCAAGTCAAGTTTATTTGTATAGCACATTTCAGCAGCAGGGCAATTCAAGGTGCTTTACATGAAACAAGCAGGCAAAACATTCAAAACAATCTGAAAAGTAAAAACAGCGTAAAAGACATTTAACAAATTAAAAGTTACATTCAAAGCTAAAATAAGGTTGGAGATAAAAGAAAACAAAACTTAGATTGGAGAGAGAGAGAAAAAAAAAAGATCAAGACAGACAAATGATGAAAATGTTGTTTAGAGGCCTCAGGTTTGATTTAATGATAGGCCACGGCAAACATATGGGTTTTCAGCTGTGATTTAAAAGAGCTGAGAGTTTCAGCAGACCGACAGTTTTCAGGGAGTTTGTTCCAGATATGAGAAGCATAAAAACTAAAAGCTGCTTCTCCACGTTTAGTTCTGACTCTGGGGACAGAGAGCAGACCTGCTCCTGATGATCTGAGCGGTCTGGATGGTTCGTAACGTACCAGCAGATCAGAAATGAATTTTGGAAGGCCACATATTCAAAGGAAGGAAAATTCCCATAATACATCTGTTTACACTGCATTGAGTCCTTGAATAAGATAGCTACTCCACCTCCTTTTCTATGCTTCCTCGTTTCACTCATAAAGCTGAAGTTAGGGGGGGCTGACTCGATAAGAACAGTTGCACTGTTATTTTGTTCTAACCAGGTTTCAGTTAAAAACATTAAGTTGAGATTGTGCTTGATGATAAGATTGATTAAGAATGATTTTCCAGCTAAAGATCTGACATTTAAAAGAGCTGAGTGTAGTGTGCTAGAGAAATTATCTGTACTGTTTTTCATGATGTGCTGACCGGGGATGGAGGCTAAGTTTGATAAATTCTTCGTTAGGTACCTTCTGTTCCTAGGCAGATTAATATGTCTATTACTTATTATGACTGGGATTGATGACGTTATCTCATCGGGCCGCAGGCTGTCCTGGGAAGAGATATAACTGTAGTTATCCTTGCCTGGACCCAAAACATATCAGCAAGAGCTTATTGAGAACGAGGTGATCCACACTGTTAGTCCTGTGCTCTTATCACGCTGAGGGAGAGGATGCTGCTCCAGTTCTCCAGTTCTCTCAGTTCAGCTGGAAAGTCCAGGAGGGAGGAGGATGGGGATGGGGATGGTGCGCCCAGGGAGAAAGATGTTATGGGTGGAGTTTGGCAGGGTACGTCCTCCTCGGTAGGTGGGCATACAGGAAGTAGAGATTCCTCCTCCTTGCTTGAGCAGGGTGGGTCCTCTAAGGAGAGTGGTGGTAGAGGAAGTACAGACTCCTCCTTCTGGCTTGAACCAAAGCTTTTTGTGCACGGGGGGGCCCAAGGCGTCTCTCTGTCAAGGCCGTGGTGTTTTATCTCATGTCTTTTGGCCTCTTGTCTCTTGTTCTTGACAGATGGGTGATGCAGGGAGTGATACAGGTTGGAGGTGAATAGTTTCACTCCAGCTTTGTTTAGAGAGAGTCCGTCTGCTCTGAAGTAATGCCTGCGGTCCCAGAACAGCCTGAAGTTATCAATAAAGTTGACTTTGGTACAGGCAGTAGATAGCCATCGACTCAGGGCAAACAGTCTGCTAAATCTCATATCTCCTCTTTTGATTGGTGGAAGGGGGCCACTGATGAATACCTTTGCTATTTTTGCTCATGTTTTGTATATCTTTTATAGCAGAATCACCCACAATCAATGTTTGAGGTTCCCTGTTTTTTGATTTTCTCTCGGATCTTACCCTGCTATGCGGAGATGAGGATCCAGGATTCCATAACAGTGGAGCAAATCTGTTGTGCAGTGGGAGGGATGGCTGCTGCTGGGGGAGATTGTTTTTGATTTTAGGGCCTGCCTTGGCAGCTATCCACGGCTGCTTCTTACGCTGGACAGGTGTTGAAGATAGTTTAGGCCAGCCAGTCTCATCACAGATCTCAGGGCGCTGGGCTCTGCTTGTTACTCCCAAATTCCAGTGAGATGATTTGGGTTTAGCGCCGAGGGAATCCGAAGAAGAGGCATTGGAGGATCCGTATTCTTCTTGGTTGATAGTGATCAGCTGTGTGTGATGGTCCTGGTCACAAGATGTTGTTTCATTCCCGCATCGTCCGTTTCTATCCACGTTTGCTTCTAACTGGTTGATTCTGGTCTCTAGCACTGCAATTTTCGGAAGCAGTTTGTGGTAATCATCCGTGCTGAAGGGGGGCATCTTAGTGCTGGTTAGCTGTATTATCCAGTCACTCGGTAAAGTAAAAAGTACAGTAAAAAGCACAAAAATGATTTTAAAAATCTTGGTTTACTTAAAAGAGAAGAGTAAAATCAAAACCAAGACTAGCCAGATGATTAAAAAGTCATTAAGAAATGATTAAAGCTCAAGCGGCAAGAGCAAGCAGAGAGACGTCTGCACAGCAGGAGAAGCAGGAAGCAAAATGACACGCACAAAGTAGAGGAAAGGTTTCACATAGAAATGACACCGTATTTCCTCCTCAGTTTGACAAACATGGAGTCTGAGAGGGAAGTGAATTTGGGTTTCAAAGGTAATATTCTCTTGAATTTCTTGTAACCCATTTTCCCTGAGAACAGGATCAAATTGCTTCATCACCTTTATTATATCTTATTATGGTTTTATGGTTTTTTATCCTAGATCCGGTGTTTCCTCATTTCTTTTAACTCAAGATAGCGTTTCCTCTGTCATCTGTGGCAAGTTAAGGAGTCCTCACCTGGTCTTTTGTGTATGTATCTGTGTGTGTGAGTGTGTAAGTGCCGTATGTGATGAATGGGGGTTGGGAGGGTGGGTGGGGTTAGGTATTTGTATTTTGATTTATTTTATTTCATTGTTTTTAATATCCTGCTTGAATGGACAGCACTGTATGAAAAGTGCTTTAAAAATAAAGTTTGATTGATTGATTGATTGATTGATTGAAATGTATATTTTACAACGTTTGAATGACAAAATAGCTCACTGTTGTAAAGCTGCCTCCTAAAAAGTCTTTATACCTGACAGATCTCCAGTGGCAGAAGAAGCACCAAAGAAGTAGCCGTCAGGGAGCCGCAGTCCAGTGATGTCGGCACAGTCTTTCCACTGCTGCTTACCATCTACATCCACCATGACCTGAAGAGCAGGGAAATGATCAGCAAGGCAGACAGATTAAGAACCAAATACTGTTAAAAGTTACCTTTAAAATGTTTTTCTTCAACCTAACTAGAATCAACAATATTTTTATGCCTTCTCTGTGATTTTGTAGAAGTATCTCATTGGTATTACAGGATTTTCCTAAAATATATAATTCAGTCATTGCATTGATTCTTATTCCCACAAGCCACCTGTGTAAGGGCTAAACAAGAGATCCGTTGATCATTACAAGTGCACTCTGCACATTCTTAATAGTCGAGTCGCAAGGCATGTGATTTCAGTCATGTGACCTAAAATTAGTCATGCTGTCACTTCCTCGTTTTCCACGATTAATCTACCATAAAGGACAGCCTGATATCACTTTCATACCAGTGTATTCCCGCTGCTCCAGGTGCATTCACATGTCGACTAAAACAGTATGAGTGTATCAACAGGGTCACTGTAGGTTTCAACAGGTCAAATTGAAGACTTTTTAAAGACCCTAGTGAATACAATTTAAGACCCATTTGACATCCATACCGACAAAAAAGTACTTAAGACATGAAGGGGGATCAGAACATTTTACTTAACTTCAAATCAATCTTTATCACTATGGCACATTATTTATTCAGTTAAAACATTTTTAAGACCTCTCAATATTGTATTAAAGTGATTTTATGAGATTTTAAGAGAATTTTAGACATTTTCAGGCTTTTTAAGACCCTGCAGATACTAGAAGTTGGAGAAAAAAATTAATTCACATAAGATTTTTTGTTTTACAATTTTAAATTGATTTTTATGTTCAAAAATCTTTTTTTTTTTTCTTCAAATTTTAGAATAAATCTTCAAAACTGACTTACATGTCATTTATTTTTTTTGGGGTGGGGGGAATATGGTTCCTGGAATAGTCAGTAGACAGTTTATAATCATTCAACTGTTTCACTGGTGTTAGAAAAACTGACTAAAAATCGAGAAAATCGACAATATCGTAAAAATCGCAATTTGAATCGAATCGGCATCCCAAAAAATCGTAGAGGAATCGAATCGGGAGAAAAGTATATCGTCCCAGCCCTAGAAGATACCCTGATCAATTTCTACTCACTGAATCATATTGCATAGTTTTGCTCTAAATGAACCAGTATCATCTTTGTAAACATCCTTTATTAATCCCATCTTATATCAGAGGTTCATACCGTGAGCCTCTTTTTGGAGTATCTGACGAGCAGAAATGTGTCATAGATTGCGTTGCGGGTCATGGCTGAACATCCTCCGAGTTCGGTGGATCGTCCATCAGAGTCGTGGTCATATGGTATAGTCCCGTTCCCCAGCATCACTGATACATATGGGAACGCTCTCTATGAGGAAGAAAAAAAGAGAAATGTATGACAAGCATACCTGGAACATACCTGGCCTTAACTACTAAAAAGAACAAAAAGAGAGGTGATGGATACCGGTCTTGAATTGCACTAGTCCAATATGAATGTTTCATTGTCTGGCTTGCATGCAAAAAAAAACTACAGAGGAGTGTTGTCGCTTTAGTGACACTGGTCTTAGTGACAATTTTATCAAACTAACAAACAACACTGCTGTAGAGTCACAGTAGACAGCACTGATGAAGCAAACCAACTCATGTGATGAGATACCATGAGACAGTGAACAAATGAAGATGATAGACAAACATCTCATCCCAACAGCCCATGACAAACTCACAGCTGCTACCTGGGTTCCAGGTTGTGTCCTCTGCTTATTCAAAGGGGTTGCAGAAAGAGAAACATGACATTTTAAACCCGCTGAAACTCAGAGGCCACGCAAGGCTAATACGATCAATGATTCAAAGCTTTTCAAAGTGTGTGTGTCATGTTTATCTACCCTTCTATGAAAATACTAACAGTACAGGAAACCCTGAGGTGAAACAGGGGCAACAGTCTGATCGACTCACTCACATCATGGTTCCTGTCAGCATTGGGGTAAGTGTCCACAAATATGCCAAGTCCAACAAACTTGTTCATGTTGCCAAATACAGGTCCTGCAAACAAAGAGTAAGGTACATCAAGGTGCTTCTTAGAAACCGCAACAAAACAAAAACCAGTGACAGGATAATGAAAAAGAGGTTTGTTGGAATATGTGTTTCTCCTCTTTAATTTGTGATTTTCACAACATTTAGCCAAGAAAATCAGACTTTCAAAGACAGACAAGGCTAGGAAAGTTATCAAACCAACTGATGACGTTTTGGCATGTCTAACATATCTGTTAATAAAGATTATGTTCCAATAACTTACACAGGGACAGAAAAAGGAGAAAACTCTTTAAACAATAAAAGTTACAACCCTTTAAGGTCACAAAGGCGCTGTCCATTAATGTTGACACTGCCCCTGGATAAGCACCAATCAGTTATGCAATATTTATACAGCAAATCACTTTAGATGTGTTAAACAACATCTAGAATGTTATAAAGTATTTGTTCATTTGTACTTTGATACTCGAGCAAAACTGACTCTGAAAGAAAGCGCTCCAGCGGGGAGAACAGTGCTGTAATAATTTACCAAACCAGATTAAGATCCAGCTCATGGATAACAGAGCGGTGCAGCAGTTACATTACTCCAAGTGTGACTATTGATATGATTGTCCAAGGATATTACATTTTTAGGGACAAATTATTGTAGCCTGGGGTGGATGGTTTTCTGTAGAAATTGATCTTTGACAAGATAGTACAAGTAAGTGAAGACAGTAAAGAATATGTTTCTTTACTGAAAACTTGAGACTTTGTCAAATGAATGGCAAAAATAAACAACCCTCATCCCAAAAAAGTTGGGATGCTATGAAAAAGGATTTTGTGATTTTTTGTTTTTAATTTAAAGCCTTGTTAAAACCCAATATGTAAAAATGACCTGAAATGTAGTAAAACTCTGAATAAAATAACTGGTCAATAATGTAACTAGACACTGAGCCTAAAACATAATAACTTCTTACCCAAACCATAGCAACTTTGGATCACCTATTACATATGGGTTTCTTATATTTTTTCAATTACATTTCTGGCTCAACACTTTTGCTACATTATTGACAAATCATTACATTTCAGGTCACTGTTACATATCGGGCACTAACAAGCCTAATTTAAAGAAAACAAAACAAAACAAATGTTAAAACCTAAAAACTGTATTTTTTGATAGAAAAAAACATTTTTAATCTGATGGCAGCAACACATTTCGAAAGAGTCAGGACAGGGACAAAAAAGCACCAGAAAAGTTGTGTTGTGCCAAACAAAACATCCAGAGGAACATCCCCAAACTACTGAGGCTGATTTGCAACAGCACAGTCACATGACTGTCTATAAAAAAATGGGCATGCCAGAAGAGCAGAGTCTCTCTGAAGCAACGATGGGAAGAGAAAAATCTCTCTGTGACAGTGATTCAAAGCATCTTGTTCAGGTGACACAGACAAAACAGTCTTTGGAGTTAGTCAGACTCTACCTACCATTCAGCATGCGATCTTTGGTGAGCCAAATGGCCAGACCATCCCCATTCAAATTCTTCTTTCCCTGACCGTGAATTTTAAAGTGCACCTTGAGCTCCCAATCCCGCAAGGATAACGGCTAAGAAGCAACAGAAGATATGTTAAACAGGTGATTCTTTTTCAAATGAACTTAAGTTTTGTACTAAATAGTTTCAGCCAATCTAAAGAAGTCTGAATCATATCTAACAGCAGAATATCATTTCATTTCTAACTTTCTGCAGACTTACAATTCGACTCCATACTGCTCCCTGTCTGCTCTGCTGATCTGGGGTCAGCCTCACGTGATCAGGTGTAACCACAGCAGTGCCCATAAGGTCCCATTGTGAAGAACTGCCGAAGCCCAACCCTGCAAAAGAGTAACATATGTAAGCTAAAGCTGTAAACATTCAAGCTACTATCTGTCTGTGAATAACATGACTTTACAGATTTGTTATTGTCTAAACTATTATCTTTACATCAGCAGTGCTAAAAATGTTTAGCACTGCTGAAAAATAAAAAAAAAGGTTCCCCTAATGTCCTCTAACATCTCAGTGGTGATGTGGATCATAAAGGTTGTCAATTGAACGGTCATTGACGCCGACTGGCATGAGGTTGGTGAGCTCCAACACTCTGAGCCCATATTGGGTGTCATAAAAGGCAGCTCCTGCTGTGAGTGGTGGGTCAGCCTTGGCTTCAGTGGGTAACCCTGTCTCTTATGGATAGGTTAGACCTCTAGATTAGAACACATGTATGGATTCCCGAGGTAGGCCTACTAAGGTAGAGAGAAAAAATAACGCTTTGCACTTTTGACCAATAAAGTTTACATTCTGACTACATTGTGTGCAGTGGAATTATCTCCTTTTTAGGAACTGTTTTTCCTGACACCAACATTGAGATCTGTGCTGTGCAGGGTAATCCTCCTTTATGTATGCTGGAAAAATATAACTGTGCCTTCATGTAAATCCGTGAGTATGGATAACAATCCGTGCTCCAACAGTGAATGTATGATCATGACATCTGCGCATGGCTTTTCTTCTTGATCTCGCACCTGGGGCCTCCGTAAACATGCAAGCACATAAACAGGGTCTATTCTTACTGATGGACCAGCCATCTCTGACCGCTCCATACTCCAAACAAGAGTCCCCCGTGCTGTTGTGCTGAGTGACAACAAAACAGCGCAGAACACACAGCAACAGTATTGAGCAATCAATATTCTGATTATTAATTGAACACATAGAAAACAACCCAATACGAATTTTTAACATTATCTGATGCTTAAATCTGCTTATTGCCAAATACTTTAGCCAAGTCCGTTACATATTGGTTATCTTGATCATGTTGAAATGACGTGTTTCAAAGATATTCGCCTATTGTAAACTTAACAGATCACAGTATTAATTAAAACAGCAATATCTCTGCGTTTTCTTCACTTACACAAACACTAACAGCTGTCAGGAGCAGGTGTAGATTTATTGAATGAACAAATTTAAACTAAAATATTGATGAATTGACAGGTTGCCTGTAAATTTCATTGTGCTGTCACGTTTCATGAATGAGACCCACTGTCCTCATTCTGTCTGTCACTGTTAAATTTGGGGGGTTTAAATTACTTCACATGAAAGCTTTATTTTGAAATTGATCATTTAGTTTCAATGCAAATCGTCAATTTCCGATAACAGTCCCAATCGTTTCCTGTATTGTGACATTAGCTCAGAAGTGTGACCATAAACGCCTAAGGTGCAGATTTCCCATTACTTACGCTTACACTCTTAATTGTTGTAAAGAGTTAAATACGTTACAGCACCGACTGTTCACGGCCAGGACTTAATCTGGTGGAACTATAAGAAGGGTTAATGTTCACTCCTGACATGTTAGCTCATTTGCTCCCCTTAGCCTGGGAATTAGTTGACAGAAACTTACCCCGGTATGGCTTTGCCAGAGAGTACTCTCGCTTATAAAACTCCTCGGTATACTCTTGTTCTTCTGCTATCGACTGACTTATCATAATACAAACTATAACAAACAGACGTGTTAATTCACGGACATTTCTAAAACGAATCATTGTCGACGAAAAACCAAAACTCTTCAATCGAACAAGGTTTGACTTAGTTACAGCGGCATCCATCTTTGCACTCCCACTTTGAACCGGTCACGTGGTTCGACGAGGAGGGGAAAAAACTACACTTCCGGTTGAGGATTTTCGAACTAAAATATAAATTTATAATTTGGTAATATTTGTCCATATATCATTTCGGTCTGTAATTTTTGTCATGTCTGTTTTTTTGGTTGTTTGTTTTTGTCTCTTTGTTTCCGAGAACCGCCACTGCTGCAAAAAAAGAAGGCCACTGCAGCAAATAAAAAAAAAGCAAAAAAATTAAAAAAAAAAATTAAAAAAGCTACAACAGAAGTTACTGATGCAAAAAAAAAAAGAAACCGAAGCCGCAAATAAAAATAAAAAAAATGGTGCAGACAAAAATTAAAAATGAATGAATGAATTAATTAATTAAAAACAATGGAAGGTAACGACCATATACTGTATATAAGAGTATATCTTATATACAGTCTATGGTAACGACACACAAAAAAAGTGGGGCTGCAAAAAATAAAAAATAAAAAATAAAAAGTTACTAAGTACTGCGAAAATGGCCACAATGGAAGTGAGCTGCCGGGGACCAAGAATGATGATGCACCGGTGTTTTACGATCTAGGCACAGAAGACGACGGCGAGAAGGCGAGCAAAGAAGTTAGTGGAAAGGTTATTGTTTAATTTTACTTTGTGTACTTTTCAATGTGTAATTTTGTTAGGCCACATAGTGCCTGAGTCGATACGAAGTTGAACTGGTGCATGCCGGTGTAGTGTTAGCTTCTCCGAATTCCCTTAAAACTGAAAAATTATATCAACAGAAATCATTTACGTTGTTTATTTTGTATAGTATAGTTATTTAGGATTGTGCAATTATTTAATAACGAAAGCGACACACCCCTGTGACAAACCTTTAAAATTAAAAGTTCTAAATCATTGGCTGATATCACAAAATGGATGTGATGGGAAAGGCAAAACGTTTGGCTTGTGTGAGCCTGAGTAGGAGAGCAGGTTTCTCTTGTCATAACCACAGGGTCTAAAGTTAACAGATGAAAAACGGCTCCATCTTCTGGCAGTGGGGTCTCATTAAGTAATGTGTCTCTTTGTCAGATCAAGACACACAGCGTTGTGAAACCCCTAATAAGACAGTGTAATCTTGTGTTTTCAATCACTCTTTCAGCTTCCTTTCCAAGCCGGATGTGTTTCCCTGACAAACTTTGCTACTGGTAACTGTAACTGTGACCCTTTAGCTTACTCCTGTGGTAGAGTGACTGTATTCTGATAACTGAAAACCAGGACACTAGCAAGTTGATACTCAAATGATTCTCTAAGTTTACTCAAAGATGACTTGTAATTTCAAAACATTTCGGCTAAAGTATGGATAGAAAACTGTTACATTGCCAAATACTATCTATAACCAAAGACACAAATTCAGAGAGGCTACTCAGAGCTTAATCAACATGTTTTATTAGGACAAGTTTCAAAAATAACAAATGAAAAAAATGATATAAATAATGTCTCGCTAAATAAATACCGTTCTGTTTTATTACCAAGTTTAACAAAAATAGCTCTCACAAACTTACAAAAAACAATTAACAATATCTTTAATATCCTCGTGGCCCGATGAAAAACAATGAAAACCAGGACATTTTCATTACTTTATAAAACGATCAGGACAGCCAGGACAGGAAGTGAAGATAGGACATGTCCTGGACATGTCCTGGACGTTTGGTCACCCTAACCTATAGCTAAGAGGCGGTTCGATGAGGAGTGTTCTGAGGATGTCACTCTACATGTTTCACTGTCAGATCTGAGATCAGTAAAGTTGTTTCACATCAATTTCTACAACACCAATGTTATACTGTCACTTTATTGCTGATGGAAATTCTGAAACTTTGAAACAAGAAAAGTTAAAAGAGGCCATTTGCAACGTCCTGTTGTACACTGTCAATGACATTCTATAAAATTTGCCCAAAAGAGTCTTACTGAACAAAAAACAGTGACATTTTCTTGTTGATCATTTGACTTGATCAATTTTGAGATCATGACATTCTTAAACTTCTTTTCCTTTCTGGATAATAGGATCCAAAACACAATTTTCTGAACGGTGGATAACATTAAGTCAAAATCACAAACTGTTAAAGGGATCGCTATCATCCTGTAGGAACCAGAAGCATTATTATGTTAGTCTCATAATTGACAAGTATGGGGGAAAGTCTGTCATTTTATGCTATCACATGACCAAACTCTGTTTTGGCATTGCGAAATACATCTAATGATAGTTGCTGGATCAACCGTTCATTACATTTGACTCAGCCCTTTACTGGGTCTGTTGGGCCCTCACCCAGACTTGTTGTATCTCATAAAAGAGTGGTGCTTGGTTCAATTAATGGACACAGCCGACTATTGACTTGTGATGGAAGACGTCAGGTTTGTGCCAGGATCCTGGGAGAAATTAAAGTAATGCAACTTGAGGGTGATGCTATTGCTCCTCAGAGACAGACAAAAAGTCAGAGTGGGTATAAGAGAGCAAACAAAAAGGTGTTTATGATCCAGCTGTGACTTGGGGCCCTCAGTATTTCCTGTATATGACCCATGGGAAGATATTATTCACTTACATCCAGAAAGCTACAGAATTCTTCAATGAAGCTGAACCTTGAAACCTGAAACATCAGCGTCTAGCACCTCTCCTGACACCCACGCATCACCATTTGTGTATCCTGTAATCCACTGCAGAGACCAACACATAGCCTTCAGCGCAGAGCTGTCTGCAGGGCTATAAATTCTGCCTCAGCTTATTGAGTGGAGAGGATCGCCGGGCACGCTGCATGTAGCCGCCTCCTGCCGCGGCAGACTTGCACTGTAATCCCTGTTTGCAAGGTCAGGAGATATTTTAATATCTGTATGGCACAGTCAGATCAGTGCTTATCTTCATTAAAGCCATGCACACCTGTTCTAGTTAAAACATCAGGAGTGAAAGTTTCCCAAGAGGAAGAGAAGGTGCCGCCTTTGCACAAACACGCAATCTACATTTTCAGGCTTTTAAATGAAGAATTATTCATATTTTCACTAAATGGTTTATGTAAATGAATGAAATGAAGCATCCTGTCATGATAGTTGGCCAATAATGACTTATTTTGTTTAGTTTAGGCTGTGTTGGCCTGAAAAACAAATGGTTCACATGGACAGGGTGGTCTGAGATGGAGTCAAACCTGTGGCCTGGAATTATTATCCAAACCTGCCACAGTTTTCATGCACACCTGTTCTAGTTAAAACATCAGGAGTGAAAGTTTCCCAAGAGGAAGAGAAGGTGTCGCCTTTGCACAAACACGCAATCTACATTTTCAGGCTTTTAAATGAAGAATTATTCAGATTTTCACTAAATGGTTTCTGTAAATGAATGAAATGAAGCATCCTGTCATGATAGTTGGACAATAATGACTTATTTTGTTTAGTTTAGGCTGAGTTAGCCTGCAAAACAAATAGTTCACATGGACAGGGTGGTCTGAGATGGAGTCAAACCTGTGACTTGGAATTATTATCCAAACCTGCCGCAGTTTTCAAAGTGACTGCTTGTCCATTTCCTATTGGCCACATATTGTTAATGAGAGGTGGGTTTAGTTCCTGTTTTTAAAAGTAAAGCCAACAACCTTTCACACATGCAGAATGATCTTAGAGAATTTCCAGAAAATTTTGGGACTAGCAATTGTGTGAACAGAAATTGACAACATTTTCTCCCCAGTTATCAGGATATTCTCCAGCAAATTTTGGCAAAGTTTTTTACAAATCAGAATGAGCTAATTTGAGAAGGTAGTGTTCAAAAACAATTTTACTAAAGGTGTGAGGATGAGGTCTGCAACCAGTAAGAGACCAGTTCAGTCTTTGAATATGTGGATATCTTTTGCATGCTTGCTATTTTCTGCTCTTTCTGTAGAATTAAATGATGACAAAAACCTGACCTGTGGAGTTGGACTCTGTAGAGTTATCTGCAATCTTCAATATGCTGTACTTATTAATAATAATAATAATAATAATAATACATTTTATTTGTAAAGCGCTTTTCACAGACTCAAAGACGCTAAAATGCAACATGAGCGGTGTCTTTTTCATGTCTTGACTCCCAAGATACGATGTAAAACGGACTCAAAGGTTAACTTCCAGAAACCTGCTTTTTGAAACAGTGTGGAGCAACCAAGACATGTAAGGTGTGTCTTATACACTAGTGACATAAAATGCTAAGAGAAGTATCTTATTGTAGTATTGGGGTACGACTCATATCTCCAGATCTAATGTTAACTTTTGATGCAGAATCACAGTTGAGTGTTTGTTTTAGAAACATCCAGCTAATAACAGAAGTCTGAGAAACTGCATTCATATTTAAGTGTTAACAACAGTATGAGAAAGAAACTGTGATGAGTTTACACAACAAACACAGTAGATTGAGTTTTCCCAGTGCATCCAGCCCCTTTACACAATCACACAGTGTGAAGCAGCGGATGATTAAGAAATGAGGAGACCATAATGCTTCCTCTGGCAGGGCAAGCCTCTGTTAATATACGACCACTTACAGCAGACATTAACTGTCCTCTCTGACTGCTTAAAGAGTGCAGACATTAAGACGGACAAACACCTCTGGACATAAATAGTCACACAATTCAACCCAACAGGCCTGAGAGAATATGGTCTGTGCAACCTGCGGGGTGAAATATAGTCACTTCTTATTTCAAGCACTCTTTAATGGGCATTTCATCCCCTCTGCTTTTTGTGCTGACAAAAAAGAAAACACATCCTCTTAATAGCTATGCTAATTTCCTTCAATATGTGCTATCTAGGCGCATCCAACAGTGCACATGTCAAGGTTATGATAATGACATACAGATGATTAAATTAGTATTTAAAATCGTGATGAATACATATGGTTTATTTCTGCTTAATCTGACATCTTACTAGCAGACATGTTGAACTTGTATAAGGTAAAGGCTGGCCAGGTTATGTTTGACTTACTTGACAGACTGGTGTGAGATGGTACGCAGGAAGTTGCC